CTCAGGAATTCTGGGAGTTGAAGTCTACATAACAGAATAACAAAATGACAGAGTTGGAAGGGATCTTGGTGGCCTTCTAATCCAACCCCCTGCTCAAGCAGGAGACCCTAGAACATGTCAGACTATCCCTTCTTAAAGGCCTCCGGGGATGGAGCACCCACAACTTCTGGAGGCAAGTCCTTCCACTGATTAATTGTTCTAACTGTTAGGAAATAGTTCCAGGTTGCTTCTCTCCTTGAATAATTTCCATCCATTGTTTATTGTCCTGACTTCAGGTGCTTTGGGAAATAAATCGACCCCCTCTTCTTTGTGGCAGCCCCTCAGATATTGGAAGGCTGCTATCAAGTCACCCCTAGTCCTTCTTTTCATTAGACTAGACAATCCCAATTCCTGCAACCACTCTTTGTACGTTTTCGCCTCCAGATCCCTACATTGTCTTTGTTGCTCTTCTCTGCTCTCTTTCTAGAGTCACAATTTATATTTTTTTATATCGTGGTGACCAAAACTGGGTGCAGTATTCCAAGTGTGGTCTTGCCAAGGCATTGTAAACACTTCATGTGATCTTGATTCTATCCCCATGTTAATGCAGCCAAGGACATGCTCAGGAATTCTGGGAGTTGAAGTCCATGGGTCGTAAAGTTGCCATAGTTGGCTTTAACTCAACCTTCTTAGAGCAGTGAGTGAGCCATCGTCCTGGCTATGGGTAGATATCCACTTACCCCGTCTCCACAGAAGAACAACATAAAAGGATGTGTTTGTGTGTGTGAAACACCCTAGCAAATGTCATTGTGAAGCACACCATCCATTCTGCTTCAAAACGGCACACCCAGCCTTTGAACCCACCCAACCATCACGCAAGCCTTTAAAAACCTGGCTCCTATTATATGGGTGATTGGACCTTTTTTTAAAAAAAACAACCCCTCATCAAAACTCTTTGAAAAGAAACACAATTTTGATTGCTGGGTGTAGTTGCGTTGTCTGGTGTGAGTTTGGCTCCGGATGAGTTAATCAGCTGGGTGAAACCCCCACCTCTTCATGGAGCTAAGTTTTGATCCAGAGGGTGGAAGGATATTGGAGGAACAGGAGGAAACTGGTTCTGCATGAGCAATTGCAGGATGCCACTGTGTGCCTATATTTTATGAGCCTGGAGCTCCGAATTGGCCCAAGTGGAGGGTTAGAGAAAGTTGAGTTCCAACTTTCAGGAAGGAGGAAGCAATTATCGAGAGAGGGAAAGAGAATGGAGGGTTGTTATTTATTTATTAGATGTATATCCTGCCTCTCTTTCATGCAGCCTCGAGGCAGCATTGGTTTTAGTCTGAATTCTCATGGAGATGTCATCTTCTTGCATCTCAGAGATTGCTTTAATCCCTGGCAGGAGCATAACATTTCTTTCCTCAATCCC